AGTTCTTTCCATTGCAGTGTTCAAAACACTATTCAAAACAGTTTCTGGATGTGTTTGAAGCCCATCACATGTCCGTGGACTCAATCAGCTGGAATCCCTACCACCCAAAAATCTTCATTTCTTGCAGTTCTGACTGGACAGTCAAGATCTGGGATCACACCATCAAGTAGGTCCTGCTGGGTCCTGGTGTGGGTGGGGAAAACCAGCTTGACATGGCAGCCTCATGTGTTAGCTCTGCTCATACCTCAGTATCAGTTTCCCTCTTAGGTATTTATATTGCTAATTGCTGTCTTATCTCTTTTTGGGGCTGATCACTCAGATTTGTTCTCTCCCACTATGAGATATAAAATTTAGCACCAGCTGCCCCAAGAACTTGCCAAGCAGTGCAGCTCAGCACAGAGCCTGACTGTTTGGCTTTGGACGTGGCTTTCTTCAGGCAGGACCTACTGTGGCAGGGTTATTATCCTGGAGTGATGCTGTAGAGAAGTGTCAGGGGTTGGCTTATGGCCTCAGGGGACAGACACCTCGTAAGAGCCAGAGGGGAGAAAAAGTAAATAAGAAATTTTAAATGTTTAAAAATACATAATGTAGTTCAGGGTTAGAAGTTGAGGAATGTCTGGTTTCAATCAGGAAATTGATTTTGTTGTAAATCAAAGTCAAGTATTTCCTGTCACCAATACTGCTCTAATATTCAATGGTGTTGTTGTTAGAAGTCCAGAGAGGAAAAATCACCTTTTACCATATAATTATTAGCCAGAGAGACTCCATCTTGATTTGTATGCTGTGGAGAAGCTTTCAAAATGCTTTCAGAAAGAAAGAAACATGCTACCTCTGTTCTCCTCACAGCATGACCAATTCCAGCCCATTTAAGTTGATTCTGAGCTTAGCTTTGCCTTTGTCTCAGACCCAGCCTGGAATCTGCCACAGAGAAATACGTCATCTCCCACTCGTGCAGTTGGCCTTGAAAAGCACAGGCTGCAGCACCAAAGTGTTTATAGCTCAGTGTTTCACTTCCAGAGCAGCATGTGTTGAAATGAGCTCTTCTCTCTGTGTCTTTGTTTACAGGACTCCAATGTTTGTTTATGACCTCCGTTGTCCTGTCGGGGACGTTGCGTGGTCCCCTTACTCTGCCACGGTCTTTGCTGCAGTCACCACTAATTGCAAGGTGAGAGGCTGGGAGCAACACTGCTCTGATTTGAGCTGAAAGTCAAGGGAGAGTAGGGCTGAGCATGGGGACAGATCAGCCCAATCCTGGCCAAGAGTGCCAGGGAGATGCAGGTCCCTCACTGGCAGGAATACACCACAGTGACAGGCTGAGCTGGCTGAGGTGCTTAACTCAGGATGGCAAGGCCCTGAAACTATTCATGCTTTTTTGCTCAGCCTGACTACAGAGGTCACAGAGAGGTCATAAAGCATCACAGATGAGGAAACCTGGGCAGCAGTATTTCCCAGTCCTTCTCCCCCTCAAGTCTACTACTCCCCTCCAGGCAAGAAATCTCTCAGATGTGGCCCAATCATGCAAATAGTGCTAAATCACAAATCAGGGGGCCTTTAGCAGATGCTAAGCAACAGCTGCACATCTCACTGCAGCCTTGACAAACCCATCAGAAATGCATGTGGGCCCTCTTCGCAAAGCACAAGTGCTTCTTGGGCTCCAAGCCCCCAGAAGCCTCTGGCATAGCAAGCCAAAACTCCCTGCAGTCCTAGTTTGCTCCTCTTACTCCAGGGATGGAGGTGCTCAGAGGACAGAGGGGAAAGAAGGCCTGAAGGCCTTAGGGAAAAGGCTTTTTTTTCCTGTGCTTTCCTGCCCTGGTCATGTATATCCCTGGGCATTAATTGCTCACTCCTTAAGGTAGGTATTGCAAATGCGTGCAAGTCCCTGCTTGCTTCCCTGTGCACATCAGTGCAGGTATGCAGCTTGCATACGCCAGGAGAAAAAGTTTTAACTCCCTCAGTGTGAAATCAGCTTATTAACCATCCCTGGGGATGGAGAGATGTCAGTGAAGATCAGAGTACCCCTAGTACCAGCTGACATCAGGACATTGGTTGTGAACCTCCAAGGTATAGAGAAGCAATAGAATAAAGTGGTTATATACTTATATTGATATTAAAAAATCAATTATAGTAATAAGTCCAGGGTCAGCCAATATAACTTAGTTCCAATTAAATAAAATCAACATTTTCACACTGTATGAGGCTGTCTCCAAAAGTAATGATTTGGTAATGAAGCACTTAGATCAGTCCTAATAGTGAGATGATGGGAGCTATATTTTTGCCCCTAGCCATCCATCCTAGTAGCTGAGATGGTTAATTTGTGCCTGGCAAGTAGCCAGGGCACATAGCTGTCCATCGACAGTGGTTTTGTACTGTAAGATCACATTGCTCTGTCACCATGGGCTGTATGTTTTCCTGGTATAAATTGGAAAGTCTGTGCAGTTTGGCCAAATTACTCTAGCAAAAATATGGGCTTTATATATCTCTATCATTGAATTGATGCCTTGGCAACTTTATTGCAGTTTAGCCTTTATGTTATAGCAAAAAAATTCATTTCACTGATACACTGGCTTAGGCTGTGAATTTGTATCTCCCAAGCAAAGCAATAGAAATCTTTTCACTGGGGCACCTGGTCTCCCTGGGAAGCTCAGGATGCTACAGCCTACATAAAGCAGTGTTGATTTTTTTCCCTGGCAGGGACAGTCAGGATTGGGCCCCTTTTTCCTGATGCATCTGTCTCTCCCCATTCTCCCATGTGCCAAACAAAGGGACTACAAGAATGAAAGAAAATGCTTTCAATGCTACACATGCTCTGACTTGTTTTCCATGAGTGAAGCTGTGTGCTGGCATTGACAGCTTCTGCTGAGTGCTCGGATGAGCAGTGCAGAGGACTCTGGGTACCCTGGCTGTGTCTTGGCATCTAGCTGTGGGGGAGAGGATGGAGATGTCTCAAGGCAATGACACATCCTGGGCAGCATGAACAGTTGGATGGTAAACACTCAGGCATACTTGGATTTCTTCTTAATGTGGCCAGGTTTCTGTAGTGATAGCTCATCTCTCTTGGGGCTTCGTGCCACTCGCTTAGGCGAGGTTCTTTGTCTTAACCTGTTGCAAAGAAGCTACTAGGGACTTGGCAATAGTTTATGCAATGGGATCTTTCCATCCCACCCCTAGATTACCCCAGCCACTGCTGCAGTGATTCTAGTTCTGTTGCTGCTGTCACATTAACTGCAGCATCCATGGGCCTGGAGTTTGTATGACAGACAAGATAAAACTGCAGAGTGACTGGGCCGCACTGCTTAGGGTATCTCACCTTGGCTCTCACACCTTGGATCTAATACAGAAATCCTAATTAGAGCCTCATCTAGTAGGATCTAATTCTGCTTTATGCCTTTAGTCCCAAGCTTAGAGAAGAGTGGCCATCAGCCAGAAGCAGCCCAGAACTGGGCTGCCTAGAAGGAAAGATCCAGGAAAGAGCAGCCTTCCCATTGCAGTCGACTGGCCAGGACAGCTGCTGATAGAAATCCTGGGCCTCTGTGTTAGCCACTAACCATGCTGGTTGCAGCTGAGTGTGTCTGAGACCTGGTTTAGTTTCTGTTTTGAACAGAAACTTCTAGATCTGCAGTGGAAGTGGAATACATAGTTGTTCACAACCTTTTCATTCCTGGACATATTCCACTTCACGGCACTTCTTGGGAATAACTCAGTGCCTCACAAAGGGCAACCTCCATTAATGCTGGGAAAAAAATCTACATTAGCAAGATACAGAAAACTACAGGCTGTGCAGCCAGGAAATAAAAACATTAAAGGCCTGTTCATGAACATCCTCTCATTTTGCATCTACACGGTCATATCTGCAAAACTTAAAGATTGCCTAGAGGTGGTTTTAAAATCACACTCTAATTGCAGTCTTAAAGAGTTACCAGGCATGTTCTGAAAAACATATTTCCTAATTTAAGCTGATGCTGTGTGTTTAAAATGTGTGTATCAGCCCCCTAAGACTGACTTTGAAATTACAGGCCAGTCAGTCTCGCCTCTGTGCCTGGCAGAATCATGGAGCAGATCTTCCTGGAAACTATGCTAAGGCACGTGGAAAATGAGGAGGTGGTTGGTGGCAAACAGTGTGACTTCACCAGGGACAAATAGTGCCTGTCAAATTAGGTGGCCTTTTATGATGGGTTTGCAGTGTTGGTGGACAAGGGGAAAGTAACTGAAGTCATCTACCTGGACTTGTGCAAAGCATTCAACACTTCCCCTGGTCTCTAAAATGGAAACATATGGATTTGATAGCTGGACCACTCAGTGGTTAAGGAAGTAGTTGGATGGTCCTACTCAAAGAGTTGTGGTCAATGGCTTGATGTCCAAATGGAGACCAGTCATGAGAGGTGTTCCTCAGGGGTCACTACTGGGTTCGGTCCTGTTCAGTGTCTTTGTTGGTGACATGGACAGTGGGATCAAGGGCACCCTCAGCAAGTTTGCAGAAGGCACCAAACTGTGTGGTGTGGGCTGCACGCTGGAGGGAAGGGAGGCCATCCAGAGGGACCTTGACAGGCCTGAAAGGAGTGCCCAGGCCAACTTCAGTAAGTTCAACACGACCAAGTGAAAGGTACGAAGACACCAATCTGTGTGGGGTGGGCTGCACGCTGGAGGGAAGGGAGGCCATCCAGAGGGACCTTGACAGGCCTGAAAGGAGTGCCCAGGCCAACTTCAGTAAGTTCAACAAGACCAAGTGCAAGGTCCTGCAGCTGGGTCAGGGCAATCCCAAGCACAAGTACGGGCAGGGGGGAAATGGATTGAGAGTAGCCCTGGGGAAAAGGACTTGGGGGTGACAGTGAACAAGGAGCTCAGCATGAGCCAGCAATCAGAAAGCCACCATGTCCTGGGCTGCATCAAAAGAAATGTGGCCAGCAGGTCAAGGGAGGTGATTCTCCCCCTCTGGTCTTCTCCTGTGAGACCTCCCTGCAGTGCTGTGTCCAGTGCTGGAGGCCACAAGACGAGGAGGACATGGAGCTACTGCAGTGAGTCCAGAGGAGGCCATGAAGATGATCAGAGGGCTGGAGCAGCTCTGCTATTGAGAAAGGCTGAGAGAGTTGGGGATGTTCATCCTGGAGAAGAGAAAGCTCCAGGGAGACCTCATAGCACCTTCCCACAGGAATGCTGGGGAGGGACTTTTTACGTGGGCAGGTAAGCGATAGGACAAGGCTTTAAACTTGAAGAAGCTCGGTTTAGGTTAGGCATTAGGAAGGAATTATTTCCTGTAAAGGGAGTGAGACACTGGCACAGGCTGACCAGAGAAGCTGTGGATGTGCTCTCCGTGGAAGTGTTGAGAGCCAGGTTGGATGGGGCTTTGAATGGTGTCCCTGCCTATGCACAGGGCATTGGAACTAGGTGCTCTTTAAGGTTTCTTCCAACCCAAGCCATCCCGTGATGATTCTATAACTTGGAAACTGGGGCATTTTAGAATCTAAGAATCTCTAAGTCCCCATGCATTCAGGAGGTGGAGATTTAAGAAAAGCTGTAAATATGCATTATGATAAAATATGTGTGTTGGCAGCTGGGTACCTGCTTCAAACAGCACCACCTCTTCATAAATAACCTGAGTGTGCCTGTTCTGCTGCTGGTGCAGTGGATATTAACTGCTACTATTGCTCTTTATCATGTTCTGGGTAATTTCCTTGGTCTCCTGCTCTGCCTGATGGCCTTTCTGTTTCAGAATGACCATAAATAATTTGCAATGCAAATTGAAATAAAATAAAATGATAAGTGAGATGTGCACAGCTGTGCCAACACTGCCTGGAAAAAACCTCCCAGTTCTATACCTAGGTGCCTAAATAAGTGGCCAGAGTTTAAAAGGAGTGCACAGCCAGTTGCTTCTATGGAAGGTTGTCTCTGCTTTATGCACTCAGGGTAGTTGCTATAGAGCATTCAGCTTTGGTTTTAGGCAAGTCTGCTGCAGTTGTGCTCTCTGATTGCATTTCAGATGACACTTAAGTTCCTTGAAAACTCTACAGTGGTTCCTAAAGTGGACAGGTGATCTGTTATTTCTAAACATGAGTCCTGCAGCTCAGTTTGCTCAGTCCCTCCAGGCCATCTACAGGGACCTGGGTGCAGATACTGATCTGATTAGCACTGAAATAAAATGAGGTTAGAGAACACCTAGTTAGTTTAGGC